CTGGGGGGGGAGGGAGGCAGGGGGCTGTGTCTCCCCTGTTTAACTCCTGTCTCTTGTTGAAAGCAGGGCGAGAATTTCTCAAACCCACCATCTGGGTGAGCCCCAGCAGGGTGGTGGCACTTGGGGGAAACGTCACCATCCGCTGTGAGGGTTTGTACTCGGACATGGAGTTCTTTCTGCATAAAGCTGGACATCCGAACCTGCAGGTGCGGACGGTGCCTGATGGGACCGTGGCTGAATTTCCCATCGCCAGTGTCGGCCGGGAAGATCGAGGGAGCTACACCTGCGAATATCGCTCCATAGCGGATCAGAGTCGCTCATCGCATCCCAGTGACCCCGTCAAGATCATTGTAGGAGGTGAGGGAGGGGCCCGGCTCAGTGCCCGGCTCCCAGCCCCACACCCAGCCAGATCCCCATGGGGTCTCTGCACCGATGGGATGCTCAGAGCCAGGCTGGGCAGTGGGGACTGGGCCCAGCAGAGGGGACGCCCGGCTGGGGAGTGGGGACGGAGTCACTGAGGGTTCCCCAGCCAGGGGAGAGCAGCAGCCACAGGAGATTTGGGGCTGAGGGAGGGGGATGCCTGCCCCCAGGGGGAGCTGCAGAGCAGGAGGGGCCTTTCCCAGACAACACATTAGTTAGGGGGTGATGGGTGGAGCTGAAGGTTATAAACCTCAGTGTATAGTTGAGACTTGCACAGTCCCCTGCAAGTCAGTGGTGGTGCTGTGCACAGAACCCAGGAGTCCTGGCCCCCATCCTCCCTGCTCTCCCCACTAGACCCCACTCCCCTCCCAGAGCCAGGGACAGAACCCAGGAGTCCTGGCTCCCAGCCCTCCCAGCATGGAAGCCAGGGACTGACTGGACCCTAGAGACTGGACTGCCCTGTCACCCGCTAGGGAGCAGAGCTCTGGGCCCCCAGGGGCTGGGGTTGCTCCGTGTTTCATGCTGTTAGCCCAGGGCTCAGAGGAAACTCTGGGCCCTGTGGAAAGGCATCCATGAGCCCATCCCCAGGGCTGCCGGGTCTGACCCATCACTGAGGCCGCGTGGTGAGGATGGGCCCCAGGACTGAGTGACGGGGCCTGCATCTCACGGCCTGTCTGCTTCCCACTGCAGAGCGCAGCTACCCCAAACCCAACATCTACCTGAGACCCGGCGGGGGGGTCTCCCTAGGGGGAGCTGTGACCGTCTGGTGTCGGGGGCAGCACCGGGGCGTGCGGTTCGTGCTGAATAAAGAAGGACGCCATTTCCCATCTGTGGATTCGGACGGGTTTGAGGTTGTGTTTCCCATCAGCAACGTGAGCCGGGAGGACGGGGGGAGCTACAGCTGTTCCTATCACAGCGGATCGGAGCCATTCGCCGTGTCGTACCCTAGCAACCCCGTGAAGGTGTTGGTGAGAGGTGAGGGGCCTGGCTCGGCATCCCCGTTCCCAGCCCAACCCCCAGCCAGACCCTCAAGGGAGCTCGGTGCCAATGGGACGCTCAGAGCCAGGCTCTGCCCTGAGTCCTGACCCAGCAGAGGGGACGCCCGGTTGGGGAATGGGGACGGAATCAGTGGGGGGTTCCCCAGCCAGGAAGGAGCAGCAGCCCCTGGAGACTTGGGGCTGGGAGGTGACTTTAACGCTGCCCCTTGTGCGTAGGAACCGTGAGTCGCTATTTAATCCCGTGATCCCATCCCCCCTGTTCTCCAGGCCCCGCCCCAGGCAGGGCCCCGGCCGGAGCTGAATGAGGCAGGGGCTGCAGGAGAAGCAGTGGCTTGGTGGATACAGCGCTGGGCTGGGACCCAGGAGATCTGGCCCAGCTCCTGGTGTGGCCACAGACTCTGTGTGATGGGTGCACATCACAGTTGCCAAAAGTGTCCTTAATTGTGGGGAGGCCTCAATCTTGGGGTATCTCAGGCTGAGCGCCCACAAATCGAGACGCCCCGAGTTAGTGGAGAACTCTGCAAACGCTGGCCTCAATAGCGCTGGAGCCCTTGTGTTGGGGGAGCATGTAGGGGCCACGTCATGATCAGGGCCCCGTTGTGCCAGGCGCTGCATTAACACAGAGTGAAGAGAGTCCCTGCCCCAGGGAGCTCACTAAAGAAAGTGAATCTGTCTGTGCCTCAGTTTCCCCCCCATAGAATGGGGATAAGGATGCCTCACGGACTCCCTTCCTGAGAGCTCCCCCAGCCCTGAGACCACTGCAGGTAGTGAGACCTCCTCCCGTCCCGGGGCCACAGCGGTGGTCCTAGGGCTCAGGCTTCCCCTGCCCCCCCCCCCACGCTTCTGCAGGGGATCAGGGTCGGGGTGCTGGGGCTTCTCCCGGCCTGCTCGTCTGGCGTCTGATCCACCACTGGTCGCAAAGGGTGGAGGGTGATATCTGAGTCGGTGTTTCAGCCCCTCCCTCCGCCCTGACAGACACTGGTTCTATTCCTGCAGGGGGAACCGACCTGGGCCACCCTGGAGCGGCACCGGCTCCCACCCACCCCCCGGGTAGCCCGGGACCAGGTACACGGCTGGGGCTGGGGAGAATCTATTGAGTCACAGATTATGGGGCAGCTTCCCCCAGTGGTTGCCCAGGGGGAGATGGAGGTTGTTCTCAGGGGCATTGACTCTCCCTGTCCCCCCCACAGACGGATTTGGGAGGGGAGCGAAGCCTCCTGCTTGGACACGAACCCGCCACTAACGGGGCAGCCGGAGGCTTCCTCTGGGGGCAGCTGGGCCCATCAGTGGCCACGGAGCGGGGGCCTGGAGCTCCCTGCGAAGCAGCCAGGGGCAGCCAGCATGGGAGGCGGGATACCGGGCTAGATGGGCCCGTTGGCCTGAGCCGGTGTGGCCGTGAGGAAGGGGGTGAAATGCCTTAGAAATGACTGCCAGGCTGGATCAGACAGCGCCCCCTAGTGCCATGCTGGGGCAATGGGGCCAGCCCTGACTAATGGGGAGAACGCCCCTTATTGAGCCCCCCGGCCTGCAGCCCAGTGCCCCCCAGTGCTACAAATCCCACAAATCTTGCTTGCTCTGACCCCACTTTATGCCCTGGGGGCCCCCAACATCCTCCCCATAGAGTTTTCTGCTGCCTGCACCCTGTGGTGCCCCAGCCCCTTGGGCGCCACCTGGGGTGGGAGGGGCTGGGGGGGACGGACCAGCTGCTCACGGCTGCTGCTGTTTCCCAGGGGGATCAGAATCGCCGGCATCTCTGGGTCTGACCAGCTCCATCATCACCAGGGCGAGCGCGGCAGCCGCCGGCTTCCTCCTCCTCCTCGTGGCCTTCGTCTGCTTCAGAAAAACCCGAGCCAGTGAGTGCCCCGCCCAGCGAGGGAAGGGTTAAACCTGCCGCTAAGCAGGGCGGGATGGGGTCACGGCTGGGATGGGGGACTGTGCTGGGAAAACCAATTATGGCTGGGGTGGGGGCTCAGCAGGGAGTTCTGCTGCATGGGTTATCCCTGTACACACAGCTGTCCCACCCCAGAGGGGCTGCATTTTACCAGTCCCCATGCCCCACCCCAGAGGTGGCCGCATCTCAGCACCGGGCGAGGGAGCCACCGGCCTGTGGATCAGGTTAATAATAATTAATGGAGATATCCCATCTCCTAGAACTGGAAGGGACCTTGAAAGGTCATCGAGTCCAGCCCCCTGCCTTCACTAGCAGGACCAAGTACTGATTTTGCCCCAGATCCCCAAGTGGCCCCCCTCAAGGATTGAACTCACAACCCTGGGTTTAGCAGGTCAATGCTCAAATCACTGAGCTATCCCCCAGGGGTTCTCAAACTGGGGGTCGGACCCCTGTGGGGGTCACGAGGTGATTACCTGGGAGGTCACGAGCTGTCAGCCTTCACCCCAAACCCCGCTTTGCCTCCAGCATTTATAATGGTGTTAAATATAGAAATATAAATATTTTAAAAAGCGTTTCATTCCTAAGGGGATTCGCACTCAGAGGTTTGCTGTGTGAAAGGGGTCACCAGTAAAAAAAATTTTAGAGCCACTGAGCTATGGTGTTGTGCTGCCCCCTGGTGGTCTGGCCCAGCCCAGCAGAGATCCAGGCTCAGCACCAGCAGCAGAGGGGATCCCCCCAGACCCCCCATCCCTGCTGCCCTGTGGGGGTGAGTGGCCGGGCGCTGGGACCGGGGGATCCCGATTGGCTCATGGGGGATTCTGGTTTGTGTCCCTCTGCAGGAAAAGGAGCCGCACCGAGACCGAGCAGGTAGGAACCCGGCTCCTCCCCCTCCCGATCGACCTGCCGGGGTCACAGGGCTCCTGGGTTCTGTCCCTGGCTCTGGGAGGGGAGTGGGGTTGGGGGCCAGGACTCCTCCGAGATGACCTGGGCCTGCTGACAGTGGAGGGGCACAACCCCAGAACAGCCGGAGTCACACCACAGCCGCCCCCCCTCCCGGAAAACAGTGACCCCCCCCTGCAGCTCCCAGCTGGTCCTCGGCTTCTGCCTCTGCCTCTCCCTGTCCAGCGCAGCTCCCCAGCTGAGGGCCGGCTGCACCATGTGACCGAGGAATTGGGGGGGGGCATGTGACCCTGTATGCCCCACCCATGTGTCGCCTTGGCTTGGGTTCTGTCCCCAGCTCTGGCAGGGGGGTGGGCTCCAGTGGTTGTGGCGGGGAGGTTAGGGAACAGGGTCAGTGTGAGGCAGGGTGGGGGGCTCTCTCGGTGTGTTGGGGAATCTCCCTGCGGGTGGGGGGATATGACATTTACAAGTGGATTTTCTCTCTTTTAGCACCAGCCCCTTGAGGGTGTTGAAGACCCCAACTATGCAAGACCCTGTCTGTGAGTAACACATCTAAGGGGGTACCTGGGTGGGGCAGGACCCCTGGGGAGGGGCGGGGCTTGTGGGGGCTTCACCCATACAGGGCAGGGTCTGATTTACAGCTGCTGCTGGGCGGGACTAAGGGGAGGGTCCCAGTGGTAGCTGGTGTCATCTGAGCATCTTCCCTCCCTCCACACCAGGTGCCTGGAGGTCCCCCTCCCCTCCCCCTCTAGTTCAGGGTTTCCCTCTGTGTGCCCCCCCACTCTCCCCCCCAGGCCTGGGGCTTTAGTGTCCCCCCTTCACTTCTCCATCAGACCTTCCCAGACAATAACCTGGGGAGAATCCCCATCCACTCCTGGCTCCCAAACCCCCACTCTAACCACTAGACCCCACTCTCCTCCCAGAGCGAGGGTGACAACCCAGGAGTCCTGACTCCCAGCCCCCCTGTCCCACCATAACCCCCATGACTCTGCTGCCGTCTCTGTGCCTCAGTTTTCCTCTCTGTCACACGGGGCTAATGACCCTGGCCCATGCTGTGGGGTGGGGGAGGAGTGGCTGTGCAGGTCTCTGAGCCCCCTGGCTGGACAGAGGGGTCGGAGCTGGGTGTGGGGTTCTGCTCTGGGCCGGCCGGGGGTGCAGCTCAGCAGGTGTCTCTGTTCTACAGACACCTCCATGGACGAAGGGAAAGAGACGCAGACCCTGGTAAGTGTCCCTTTCTGCCCGCAGCCCCTGACCCCCAACCCTGATCCACATGGGCCCCACTCACCTTATCTGGCACACTCAGTTTTATGGGGTGGGGGTCAGGTTGCTGGGAGGGGCTTGTGGGATCGCCAGCTGGGATGGGAGGGGCTTATGGGCTCCTGGGGGTGAGAGGGGAGAGAGTGACTGGAGTGTGTGTGTGTCCCTGTCACCCCCTGCTGGAGGGGTGTCA